GGGCCTGACCTAGGGAGGATTTTAGGCAGGGATAATTTTAAAAGTATTTAATTCGAAACACAGCTTGTAATATTTGGTTTTAATTCGGCTTTTATCGGGGTTTATTTTCTGTATTTTTGTATTTTGTAATTTTTTGTATTTTGTGTTTACTATTTGTTTTTAATATGCTGTGAACCGCCCTGAGTCCTATGGGAGAAGGCGGTATACAAATTAAAATAATAAATAAATAAATAAATAAATAAATTTTGTTGGATAGCGCCCATTGTTCGAGGATCTTTTTGGATCCTGAGTTTGTCTTCTGGGGAGTTGGCTACTCCTGCCTGTTTGGTGTCATCTGCAAATTTTATGAGTTCCCCTTCAATTCCCTCACCTAAGTCATTGATGAAGATATTGAAGAGTACTGGGAGTAAGATGGAACCTTGTGATACCCCACTGCTTACTTCTCTCCATGTGGATATAGTGCCATTGAGGACTAATCATGGAGTATGGTTTGCTAGCAAGCTACAGATTCATCTGGTGGTGATGTTGTTTATTCCACCTTTTTCTAGCTTACCAAGATGTAGGTTGTGGTCTACTTTATCAAATGCCTTACTGAAGTCTAAGTATACTATGTCCACAGTATTTTGCTGGTGTATTAGTTTAGTCACTTTGTCGAAGAATGAAATAAGTTTGATTTGGCATGATTTGTTTTTAACAAACCTATGCTGGCCACTAGTTATAACTTTGGTTGCTTCTAGTTGTTCGCAGATCTGTTTTTTTGGCACCAGGGACCAGTTCCGTGGAGAGAGGTTTTTCTGCAGACTGGAGGGGGGCATAGTTTCATGCCTGCACCCTGTGGGTGGGGCTTTGCTTGTTGTTGCAGACCAGTTTCTGGCATACCATGGCCCAGTGCCAGTCCATGGACTGGGGGTTTGGGACCCCTGACCTAACTGGTTTTGGATTGCTTCTTTACATACTCTGAAGTAAAAAGCAAGAAGAATGCCAATAATCAAAGGTGCATCAGCTCATTTTTTTCCCATCTGGAAGTCCTCAATGGCCTATTTCAAACCTATTTGCATCTCTAACTGGCTGCTAGTTTAGGCAGATCTTTGTCTGGTTTAAAATTCTTTGGGGTTATTTAATCAATTTAATGTAGTGACAACATCATGAAGGAGAATTCTTATTTATTAATCAAAGAGATGATTAAGAAAAGCCTAAAATGGGAAGCTGAAGTTGGTTCAGCTTCAGGAGGTAGAAAAACTACATTTATTTAGTATTTTAATTATATAATTTGCATTAGAATTTACATATTAGTCATATTAGACATAAATGTAAAAAAAATGTTGGTTCAGAGCTCATATTTGGTGCATGTCTTCCTTCTTGCAGAGTGGGATTTGGATTTAATGGCCAGCATTCTATTTTAGCTTCTTTGACTCCATTGTTTTTAATTTATTTTTCTTCAGTGAGTATTCATTATATAATAAAAAAAACTATAGAATACAGTAAATGCAATTAATGCCACATCTTCCATTAGATTTTTTGGTTGGCAATCACAATAATAATAATAATATGCTTCTTTCATATTTGCAACACTAAACAGTCTACTACTAATAATGTTTCTATCTACAGTTTCGTTTCATTAATTCTTTTAATGGCCGGTTATCTGCTCTAACTGCTTAAGAATGATTTGCTTGGCCTAATTTTAGTATAATTCTAGGCCTATACTTTTATGCACATCTTCGTCTCAGGGGAACTTTCCATTGTTCTCATAGGTGTGATTAAAAACAGCAATAGGAATAAAACCGTAGAAATAATAAAGTGGTATTACCTAACTTTTTTAAAAAAAAAAGTTAATGCGCATACTGAATTTTTCTTTACAGGCTTTAGCAATGGGAATGATGACAGAATACTATCATTACATCTTTACTACACTGGTAAGTAGCTTTAGAAGAATATGCTAATGGTCTCAGGCATCACTCTAAAGCATTCTTCATTAGATTACTTGACAGTAATAATAAAAGTATTTTACTGAAAATAAAAGCATTTGTAGGTTCATAAGGGGAAAAAAAGTATTTAATGTTACCTTTATTTGGAATGTGATTGCTATGGCAACTCTGTGATCACTGACAAACAAGCTGCTCAAAGTTGTTTAATGGAGGCACATGCCAATAAGAGCTGGTTACTTCTTCTGGGTTTCTTTCAACATGCTGATTTTTGTATTAAGGAAGGTTGTATACCTAAACAGCGAGTATTCTCAAGCTATAGGTCACACTCTTTCAGGGATGGGTGGGTGAAGAAGGCTTCAGGGTTAGGGTGACACTGTAAGTAAGAGAATATGTGTAGTTTGGGGCTGAACCGTGGAGTCCTTGGTGCTCACTGAGTTTGTTTGTCTGCTTGAGGACATTTTGTTACCCAGTTAGGTAACATCACTGGCACTGGATAATGAAATGTCTGCAAACAATCAAGCTCAGAGAGAGCACCAAGAATTCCTCAGATTATCCTATTGCTATACAATTGGTTGCCTGGAGAATCGCTGGGAGCCATACTCTAGTATAGTTTCAAAACCTTTGGGGACAACAGTGGGCACATGGTAGAGTCCTCCTGCCTGTTTGGTGACTTGAATTGTCTTTTGATGCTCTGGACTACAAATAGAATCCAGGAGAGGTTCTGTTTTTCTGTGCAGTCATGGCAGAGTTTTCAAGATAGTTTAAGATTTTCTCGATAGCGTGTTCTATGGGTGATTTTTCTAGCATATTCATTGCTGTATCAAATCCATTTGGTTATGTTTTGGGAAACCCATTCAGTTGTTAGCAAATTCATAGTATCTATTCTGTTGGTTTAAATTTGGATTTACTGCCAGGACACTTTTCATTTTAACCTGTTTAATGTACCTATGTAATGCTAGAATCTCTTTCAATGGAGCAGAATGAATTGAAGTTATTTACTTACTGTTGCATAACACTAGTAATGTCATGACTACCTATTGCCATTCTTTTATGTGTCCTTGGCAAAGAACAAAGTAGCTAGAAAGGGGCATCTATCATGGTTCCGATGGTGTGAGATGGTGAAATTCAATAGGATTGCTCAAGGAGTGGCTACTTTCATCCACCAGCTTTATTTGCCACCTATAGATTACAGACTTTATTAGCATGAATAATTCTGGATTGTTTGTTTTGATTTAGATGTGCTTGACTCCAATTGACCCCTGACAACTCACAGCAGAAAACAACAAAACAAATATATAATCCAAACAGAGTACCTAGCAATAAATGGAATGGTTATCCAACAACACATACTCTATTGTACACCACCCTAGACTAGGATGGTTATCAATAACCCATACTCTACTGTACACTACTCTAGACTAACATATAAAGACCTGGTGGTTCTCCTTAAGAGAGTTCAACAGAGTGAAAGCCATTCATATTTCAGGAAGACAGCACTTCAATGGTCATACTTGATCAAAGGAAGCTACAACAACCCTGTTGGACTAAATTAGCCAGGCTACACTATGGAAGTTAGGTGATCCCTCAAGTAACCAAACTCTAGGCCATGTAGGATTTAGGTCATAACTAGGACCTCGAATCTGCCTGGAAGGAAACCAGAACCAGTGCATCTAATGAAAAGAGTAATACATGGCATACCAAAGCATAATTATCACGTCCAGCACCATTGCATTCTTAGAAGCTTTGTAGCCAGCAAACAGAGTGCAGGAATTATATGTAATGCAGTTGTGGGCCTATAAGCTGCCTAAATGGGAGAAGCAAGCTTCTTTGGCAAAAGAGCATGGGAACAGCTTAATAAGTAAACAAGCTCTATGAAAGAAACCATACAATTAGTAAAGCACAAAAAGTTCTATATATGGCACTTAATCCTTTGGTCTAATTAAATATTCCCATTTGCTTATTAGTCTTGAAGGAAAGGAAAGTTAGCAGGAGGTCATGGATTTTCTTTCGTTTTTTTCTTCTTCTTTTTCTTGGAAGAACTTCAGAAGTTGACAACTAAGGTAATTTGGAATATGCCAGCCAGAAGATAGATATTTTGCTCAATGGAGCCATGTAACCTGTATCACTTTTGGCTCCTCTGCTTTATTAATTACTTCTTACCTGACACAGTAGAAATCTTGTCCAATAAATTTTCCAGTCACAGTGTTTAGCTGGGCTGTTTGGAAGTGTACTTTCTCATGATTGATTTGGAGTCTAATGTAATACCTCGTTAATTCTCTCTGAACTGTTGTGCATATTTATTATAGTTTTGAGTAAACAGAAATGTGTTCAAATTGCATAATTACTTATGCAATTGTCCACGATGACTTGGAAGCAACCCAGGTATAAAGGAAAAGAGCTTTGAGTCATTATTGCAAGTAGCTTTGCACCTGGCCCATGCTCAACAAACCTAAATTACAGGGATTTTTGCCATTGCCATTAATGTCATGCATTTCTTTTGCTTATGCCATCTGAATAATTCTATTATATTTCTATAATATAATAAAAAGGGGCTTTTTAAAATATATTTTCAGTCTTACTATCTCCTTACCACACAGTATAATTGACATAAATTGAATTGTTCTATGGGTGACCCAGTCCACTATAACAAGTGGAGCCCCTCATATAAATCTTAACATTTAATGGATGTTTGTTTGCCCAAACCAGACTGCCTTAAAATAGGAATGGAAGTGCAGCTTAATACTGTGTAACATAAAATGTACCATGTGGTACAGACTCAGAAGAAACAGATTGATGTTTTAATCAATCTGTGAAAAATGATGTGATTACCTCTTATTCTAATTTGAAACATTAACTGTGTTTTCACTTTGGAATTATCAAAGTGCAATTTATCATATTGTACTAGCTCATCTAGGGAGGCAGACTAGGTCTCTTTCTCCTCCTCCTCCTCTTCCTCCTCATCACCATCTTTATAAACTATCACCGTTTATATTAACAAAGTTCACTGTATTATTCCAGATACTTTAACCTTAAAAGGTAAAAACAATACTTTATTCATCTATTTTAAAACACTAAACTTTTCTTTAAAAACATTTCTAAGATCAAAAAGTTTTAATATATCTTTTTAGAACTTTTTTAACTTTAAAGTTCACTTTTACTTAGACCAATAAAGTTCCAATTAACTCCAATTAACTCTTTAAATTTAAATCACTCCCTCCAAATTGCCCTCATAAAATAAAATTGTTCTTCTTGTATACATCCTTTTTAAAACTCTAAATTTTTCTTTAAGCTAATGCATCTTTTTCTTTAACTTTAACTTTTCTTTAACTTTCTCTTAACATAGATACTTTCAAATACACTTTCAGTAATATGTTACAAGCTTTAAAAATTAGTTAAGCATTATATATAAAGGGGAAAAAAGTATTTTCAGACCCACTTTACATTAAAACTTTTTTTCAATTGCAAATATCAGAACGATAAAAATCCATCCGAATGTCAATTGACTCATGTAGTTTAAGTCATTACTTCCATCTTACAGTATCTTCATGAAATAAAATCTTTTTCTTCTCTGGAATGTTTATCAAGTAGTTATAAACTTCTCTTTTTCTCAAGGATTTCTCACCCTTGTGAGTGTCCATGAAAAAAGGAGTCCCATACTTGTCCTTTGAAAAGTTGCAGATTTTCTTGGAATTCTTCTTTCTATTGTGTTGGGAGGTTTATATTTAAACCATCATAATAAAAGTTGGTGTCAGGTTTATATTCCAAAACTGCAATTGACTCCTCTACATTGTCAGCTACTTGTGAAATTACCTGGGTGGTTTAGTAACTTTCTACACATATTGCATCTCTGAAATAGTTTGAGTAGGTTTTTTTTAACATCCTTGGAGCATAGCTGATCTATGTCCCAAAGGTGCTTTTTAAAGAGGCAACTGGACTTTCTTGTTTTTCTTTGAAGACGTTTCACTTCTCATCTAAGAAGATTCTTCAGCTCTGATTGGATAGTGGGGAATATGAAGGATTTATATTCCTTGCGGACAGCTGGTCATTTTCATTCTTTTAGAGCAGGGGTGTCAAACTTGCCACATCATGTGATGTGTCGCGACGTGTCGCGACTTTTCCCCCATTGCCGGAACTGGGGTGGGGGCGGTTTCGGCATGACCCATCCGGCCCATGGGCCAGCAGTTTGATACCCCTGTTTTAGAGATTCATTGAGGGTACTTGGAGGTTTGTCTGTGTCCTCAGGGTCACATGAGTAGTTCAAATGGATGTAGAGCTTTCTTGGAACTGCTGAAAGGACTGTTGTGGAGATGTACTTTTTGCAGAGGCACAGGCTGTTGGGGATGAGTCTGTGTTGTCTGCATCTCAAACTGAAACTCAAATGGTTCCTGTAGTCTTCAGAGCTCAGGAAACTTCTTGGATGAGAAGTGAGAGTCTTCAAAGAAAAGCAAGAAAGTCCAGTTGCCTTTTGAAAAAGCAGCTTTGGGACAACTATGACTTGGATGACTGAGAATCTCCATAGACATTTAGCTGGTCTATGAATTGTTGGATTTTATTTAAGGATTTTTCAAATACATCTCTAATAGTTTGCTCCTCCATCTTCTTACTCTTTAATCAAAGAGTAGCTTTTTTGTAAGTCACTGAATAATTGCTGGCCAATCGGAGATCATAAAAATCAGAAAGTTTTAGCCACTCATAGCAAAGCAGACCAAGCTACAAATGACTAAAAATAATAAACTAGAACCACAACTTTCTACCCTTATATTTCTCCATCATTTTTTTTTAAAAAAGATACTCCACACTTTCTTATTTAGCTTGCCTTAGCAGCCTTCTCATTGTTTAACAATGAAGAAACCCCCAAAATGGCACAGATCCTCAAAAAGGAATAACAGGCTGTGGCTAAATATAGCCTCTATTAGTTTAATCAAGATTAATAATCCTTAAAATTATTAAGAAATGAAAGGCACAACTTCTGTTTGAAAAATAAATTCCAAAATAGCTGCTTCTTCAACAACATACTGATTGCAGCCTCACTCCCCCAGCTGTCTGTTTTGAAGCACAGCTCCTGAAGCTACTTGCAGATCTTTGCTATATGGAGGATCTTGTGGGATGAGTCTAGGACTTTCCCTAACCCAGGAGAGTCATATAAACTAAAGGAATGCCAGTTCCTTCTGTTGGAAGTTGAAAAAGCAACAGCCAAGGAAAAACCCTTCAGGGATCTTTCCCTGGGCATATCGTTTAGTTGGCCATCTTCACTGGAAGTCATGGAGTAATATTCTTAACTAATCTGGAAAGAATCAGATTATTGAAAACAGACCTAGATTACCCCTAGATGTCCCCTAGATGGAAAAAAATAGTCTATGAAATTAAACATTATCTATACGTCAAGAAATGGAAATACTGAAAATCAGAATCCTTTCCCCCTTGTTGTCCAAGTCTGCCTTGGAGATTTGAGAGACAAGTCTAGGAAAAGATGAAAAGTAGAGAAAAATAGTAGATTCTGTTCATCTTAACGGCTCTTTAGCAATCCTTATTCTGGAAAAGCTTTTCTTGCTATTCTTTTCTTCATAGTATTGGTTCTGTTCAATCATGCCAAACCTTTTCTGCAGGGTTGTTTGCTTTCATGTTTTGGGGTCAATAGTGCAGTAAAATGAGAGTGGCTTGTGCATGTTATACTGCCATAATTGCATTTTGTGCTAGTATTCCAAGTATGGTCAACATAGTGTAGCTTTGAACATGACTTCTGGAATATGTGTTTATATTTACTACTATCTTCCATATTGTGCCTAGCAAACTATCTAAACTTTCTGTTATTTTTCTTAAGCAGACTTTTAATGGGAGCAGGAGAGAAATATTATAAATGTAGACAAGCCTGAAGTTAGTAATGATGACACTGAAGTGACAAAATATGTAGATGTTCCATCATAAACTTTGCCTTTTGATACTTGTATAATACTGCACACAAGTTCATAAGAGATGGAATTTGTGGCATGTCACAAATTTCATCACCTACTTGGCCTGTGTAAGTAAATAAGTAACACATGCACTTACAGATTTGAGTGTGTTTGGATTAGGAACTTCCTTTTATTTCCTAACATATAAATTATAGCCAAACATTGTAAAAAGATTTATTAGAGCAGAATTATTACACAACCTTTGTGTAATGAAGACTTATAGGTTGTTCACAAACAGCAAAGGATGTGGCTCAGTGACTTTCCTTGACAGTCTATAAATGCTTATGTTAATAGCTATGGAGTTTTGTTATGACTTAGTGCAGAGTCTCCAACCTTTCTGAGCTCACGGCCTGGAGGGAAGGAGAGCAGCTTCCAAATTGGTGCACACACGTGCATACAAACAGCACCATGCACATTGGTGCAGCACTAGTGGCCCCATTTGTGCATGCGCAAATGGGCCATGCACACCAGCCTGGTACTAACGGCCCCATTTGCGCATGCGTGAATGGGCTGTGCAGACCCGCCCGGCACTAGTGGCCCAATTTGCATCAGCATTTGAAAACAGGGCTACCGACGCTAGTGTGAGTGGGGGGAGTATGCACACACACATGTGCACACCAGCCAGCCCTTTCCGCGACCCACTGGCCAAGAAGCCATGGCCTGGTAATGGGCCACAGCCCATAGGTTGGGGCCCCCTGACTTAGTGGACATGTAGAAACATCCTAGAAGCATCACACATTTGTGATGTTCATTGGGCATTATTATCAAATCATTTAATTCACGGCTGCATTGGTGTTGCATATGGTTGTCAAATGCTTCAGAAAGCACACAAATGGTTAGATGTATTGTTTTGTTATCATTGTTACACATGAGAGAAGAAAAATGTTTGGAAACAGAGAGATTATGTATGGATGAAATATCTAAAAATATTTAAATATTTAGATAAAAATATCTAAAAATATTTTCTCCTTTTCTTTAGGACCTCTTTGCTCTTGATGTGGAGCCTTATCGGTATAGTGGAGTAAACATGACTGGTTTTAGGATTCTAAATACAGAAAATAGTCAGGTGGTGTCCATAATTGAAAAGTGGTCCATGGAACGGTTGCAAGCTCCTCCAAAACCTGATTCGGGTTTGCTGGATGGATTTATGACGGTATGAACACCAATTAACCTACACTTGTCAAATATTTGATATTATTTCCTATTTTTTTCTTGGGTATCTTTGATTGTCTAATTGCTCACTAAGATTATGTCCTCCTTTATGCCTCAGTTCTGTATTTTATCTCAGTTTCTGGATCTGAAAAGTAAAGTATAACTGTCCATATTAATACTCCAACAAATGACTTGAACAGGTTGGTGAGGTTATGTACCTAACAGAGCCATACGCCCCAGCCATACATCATGGATGTTTAGAGTTCCCATGCTAATGATAAAATCAACTATATTAAAAGGTTCTCTATATTTATGCTTCTGGTTTGACGCTGGGTTGATAAGCTACTGGCCTTCCCTTTTCTGGTGTTATGCAGCCATGATGGGAATAGCAAATGATCATCATTGTTACTGTGAACCACATATTGTTATTTATAAGACAAACACCCATAAAGGTTTTCTAAATCAATCAATCAATCAATCAATCAATCAATCAATCAATCAATCAATCAATGTATTCTTTTAACCACAGAAACAATTTATGCATATTGCAGCTCTATAGGACAGCTAGAAAGAAGACTGTGCTGCTAAATACAACATTTATATTGCCATTCCTGAGTTGATGTCAAGCCTAAATGGATAGTCAGAGAGGATGCCCTGGCAACTCAGAGTCCAGATCTCTTTTGATTAATGGACACACTTATTCAGACGAAGAAAGGTGGGTCTTCCCATAAAAAGAACCCCGAATGTAGTTTGAAGCAAGTATATATAGATTTCTTATTTGTACTTAGTTACAGTACATAAGAGGAAGTCAGCATGCAGTAGATAAGCTATAGACATTATAAAAAATACTCAGGTATGCCTTCCGTGGTTTCGATCACATGTTTAACCCACAGGCTCGTAGTTTCTTGTGGAACTTTCCACAATCCTAAAGGCCTGAATGTTAATTCTGTCATTTCAACATAAGAACCTTTTGACCAATTGTCTAATTATCAGAATTCTGATTAATACCATGTCCTCTTTTGGAGAACTTCAGCTACTACAAACTTGACTGCATCCTTTTATTTTAGGGCTGAAATATTTATGATTAAACATTTGTGTTTGCAAAAAAAGAGCCAAGGAGGAGTCAGAATTTGCTTACAAAATAAAGAGTTGTTGCTAGCACTGGACTGCTTCCATTTTTTAAAATACACTATGCTTATATTGCTGAGACATCTCATGTTCTCTTTTGTCATAATAATACAAGACAATAGGAAGCTCATTGAACTTCCCTGTGTCTGGAAAAGGAAAGACCCATTATTGGTAGTGGTAATACAGTCATTTGTCACTATATAAGTTCGCAGAGCTTATGCATTTCTCTCCTGGCTTTATGTCAGAGCTTGAGTTGGAAATAAAGAAAAAAGGAATTGGATTCATTTATGGAGCCTCATGGCTCAGTTAACCCCTTTAATTGGTTCCTAGGAGCTATCACTGGAGCCTGTCTATTCAGCCACAAAATAATGAATGTTTTGTGTTTTGTACTCAAGTAGGGTGCCAGTGGTAGAAGGTAAAACTTTTCAAGGAAGTTTATTTTATTTCTCGACCACTGGTCAGTTCTTTCTGTCTTTGTGGCTCCTGTAAACCTATCCCTGGTGCTCCATTTCTGAGGCTGCCTAAGATGACCATGTCTGTATCTCCTAGGCAAACATGGTTTGTAGACTAAATGCCAAATCTAGCTAGAATCTAGAAACAACTAAAGCAATTTTTCATTCTTTTCTTCTCTCAACAATCTTTCTCCTTTCCCATTTCACATCTCACTCTACTACTCACATTCTTGCTGTCCTGTTCTCTGCCTCTTCTCTTCCATGTCCCCATCATTTTCTGCTTTTTCATTCTCCCTCTTTCTGGTGCTCTTATCATCATAACAGGCCATCTCTTCTGTAGCCCTCAAGATCAGGATCCAAGATCCCCTTCTCTATCTTGTTCTTGCACTTATACCTTTCCTATTGTAGGACTCAGCCTTTCTTCTCCCTAGTTGCTCCTGATCTAGAACCAGATCTCATCTCCCTTCATTATCTCCGGCTCAGGATTCCTCAGCCTCTGCTATCTGTCCAGCACAGGTACCAGGCTTCTTACAACCATTATTACTGTTGTTACAATTTCTAAAGAGGAGACTGCAGGAGAAATATAGTTGGTACTATGAATATGCATACATACACACATACACACACACAGCACTTAGATAAGCACTCATAAATGCACATTAAAATAAAGGAGACTCCATGTCAGCTACCTTGAAATTCTAGAAAATGTATGTGCAAGTAAATGTACAAATAAATATATTGTTCTAGAACACATGAAATAAAAAAAACTAACTACCTTTAAAAAAAGTTAAATTCCAGTTCAGTCCTATTGATATTTTATATGTAATTTCTTATCCAAATCACTTCTCAGTTTGTTAAATTGTTGGGATTTGGTTGTATGACTACTGAACCCTTTGTGATTGTCCACATAATTTGCCTCTTAAATACATGAAGAGGCCATTCCAGGCACATCTTCAGTTGGCTGAAAACATTAAATTTCAGTTTGTTGAATTTGTATAAAAGATAAGTAAAACAACAACAAAGCATTATTACAATCTTAGGCCAGATAACACCACATAGAGATATACACCTAAAATTGTTGAGAAGACTAAAAAATAGGCATAAAGTATAATAAAATTTTAACAATATAATTAATATGGTAATAATAACTTAAATACCAGTGGCAATCGCCAAGAGTAGCACTAATTTTCAGTCATTGTCGGGACAAATATAATAGTGGTATAAAATTAGGAAACTGAAACATCAAGACTCCTGGTCAGATAGCAGTAAAGATAACCACTGTATTTTCTGCCACAGAACTTCTTTAAAAATGGGATAGATTAATGTTTTCCAAGACTACCTGTTATCAGAGCAAGGAAGGAGGATGTGGCTTAAGGACTCCTGAGTAACATCAGTCCTTCTTATCTGACTAAATCTTGCACTCCACATAGCAATATAATTGTGAACTGGTCTGCCTCAAACATAATAGAGAGAGAGAAAATGCTGCAGTGCAACATTAAAACTTCATAAATGCTAAAGAAAATCAAAAGGGTCACAATTCTATCTCTAGATTATTTGCTCAGTAGGTTTTAGAAAGCATTCTTTATTTACACAAGGTCATTTAGGAACTCATAATGTGTTTTGTAAGTGGAATTATTCATCGCACTATCAAAGGTCAGCCTTTTACTGTCTATCACTGAGTGGTATCTATTGCAAGTGCACTGTCACTTCAAATATTGTTTATATAAAATAAATTCAGAACAATATATAAAATATAAATATAAATTATTTGTAAATATAAATTATTATTACTGTGTGCATCTACTTAATTGGAACATATGATAGCAAGAAAGTTGTTTCAATTTCCTATCCCCTGGGAAACCGATTTATCTTAATGATACCAATGGCTGATTATATGGAAAAAAAAAGCATTAGCATAAAAATCTGTCTAATGGGCATGCATCTAGCTGGTGCCAATTAGTTAAATGCCACATAGGCAGGTGTTTGTTGGCATAAAATTGTGACTTCTGGACACATGGAAAGAAACCAACTCAAATGAACATTAAATTCTTTTTTTAATGAACAGATCAGCTGCCTCACTCAAGAAAGAAGAGCTTTTAATGGGAGAGTCAATTTTCATTAAAGATGGACAATAGTGTGCTTCAAAAATGTTATGCAATGTGTTTAACACCTGGTCAGAAATGGAGGCTGTAATCGCCATTGTATTTAGAGTGATTCCCTTTTCTCTCATTGGCTATTTTTGCCTTTTGCACCGCGTGGTGTAAAAATGAAGCCACAGCTGATGAGGTTCTGAATAAGTTACTTTGTACTCTCTCTCTCTCTCTCTCTCTCTCTCTCTCTCTCTCTCTCTCTCTCTCTCTCTCTCTCTCTCCATTTGTGCGTGTGTGTGTGTGTGTGTGTGAGAGAGAGAGAGAGAGAGAGAGATTGATCTCTCCATGTGATCAATTGAAACAGGGTACATGTTGAGAGACTCTATTTGTCTCTCAAGTTGGTTCCCATCTGATGCATTATGTGTTGGCTCTCAACATTCTTTCCTTTATGTTTGGAGATAGATCCAGAAATTATCTATCCCCAAAAATGGCTTTCTACCTGCACATCCATCTTGTCAGAATCTTATGTGTCCTCCTCAGAATCATCCAGTGAATAAAGCTTTTCAATGACCAAGCCAACCATTTGAACATGGTATGTTAGAAAGAAAACACATAGGAAATAACTTGGCATCCAGCACAAAGATTATACAATGAACTATGATATGTAAGCAGTTTTGGGATGTATATGTTAAAGCATGTCTTAGTTTCACATGTCCAAGTTTTTGGACATTCTTTCCATTAGTAGATTTTCAAAGCCATAATGGGTTAACTTGGTTTTGGGTTCATATGTGTGGCCCATAATCATTTAGCTATAATCCTTGATGATTCAAACTGAGTTAGTGTGATGTGTGCTTCTAGTCATAGCAGAGTGCAAGGCTGATATAACAAAAATAACTATGCTCATTGTAAATTTGTTAAGTAATTACCACCATAGAATTTAAGCGAGTCAAAAAAGTTTAATAATATTTGAAACTATACTCAAAACTATTCCAAATTGTCTTCATCAAGAAATCTGAATAAATATATTAATAATTTTCAACAGAGGTTAACATTAATTTATAATATGCTTGGTGAAAAACAGATGTTAATTTTTAGTATTTAGTAAATTGCTTCTTTAGCAAATTTTATCAATTTTGTGGCAACTGGGCATTGCTTTAGACTCCAAGAGCTGTATCCTGCATGTTGGAACTCAAATCTATTACATCGTGAAGAATAATATTTTATAAATATTAGAGTCAATAGATGGAGTTTTTATTGCTATTCATCCTAACACTGTACCTTTGAAATGCTTACTTATAACTACAATTAATCTACAAGTCACAGTCTATATA